TCCCACAGAGGCATGCAGGTGTGTGTGTGGGGGGGGTGCTCTAAGGATATAGAGCAAAGACAGAAGTGGACAGCATTGGTTGAAAGGAGGCAGAACCTTTCCTATCATTTAAAACACCGTCCTCCTCTTCCTTTTTCCCTCTGTATCACCCCATCCTTCCTTGTCTGTGACAGAGTTTCTGAGCAGTGTTTAGGAAGCTCAATAAAGAAAAATTGATACACATACATATTTTTTCAGTGGGGAGTGGGAGGGAAAAGAGGATCCAGGAGACTATGAAAAGCACAAATCCTACAAACAGCCTATTGAATGCACTTTTCTACTCATATATTTGTTTGAGGGAGAGGGAGAGAGGCAACAGGAGAAACCCAACAGCTTTCTGGTGTGTGGCTTATGAAAGCATGGCAGGCATAAAAAACACAGACAGAAAATAAATACCATCATGCCTGATATAATTTCTCCTATTCTAAGTAGGGTTGGAGTGTTGTGTCAGAATAGGTATTTCTTTTCTGCCCTCACCATCCTCATGCTCAAAAGGACTTTACAGAACACCTCCAGAAGATGGGTTAGAGAACAGACATTCATAGACATAACTGGACAGTAAAAAAGCTGAACTACAGTGGCTTTATGGCTCACTACAACCTAACAAATACTGCTACTGATCTTCCTGCACTTCAGGGTAATAATGACTCTTCTTTTTTAAATGGTTGAGTTCTGACACTAACTACATTACCTGTTCTACTGTTTTATTATATCAGAATTTCTGATAACACCTCTTCATGCCTAGTTCACAGACCTCCTCCATCCTTACTAGCAGATGGTTTGCATTTACATGCAATCCTGTCTCTGCTATTTCAGATTTTTGGGGGGGGGTGATAGCTTTTATGGGACCAACTGCATGGTTGGAATAAAGTTGGACAAGTTTTCGAATGCAAAACCTGATGAAGAAAGTCTTGCACTCAAAAAAAGCTTGTCTAACTTTACTCCACCCATGCAGCTAGTCTAATAGAAGATATCACCCTTCAAAAATCTTTGCTTCTTTCATGATACCTGGACCATCAGGCTATATCATCACTCCAACACAACCTCTGCTATTTAGCTCAACCTCTGTCTGTCTCTTTCCAGATTTGAGGAAGGGCATGTAAAGCCTGAAAGCCTGACAAACAGCTTTTCCAACTATACAGTTAATCCATAAGATAACCCCCCACCCTCCCATTTTTTGGACATTGATATACCACTGAGCCAGTGGTTGACACTGACTGTTGTGTTAGGCCCTTTCACAATATAAGAAAAAGAGGACATTTAATGAAACTGCAAGGCTACACAAACTTTTCTTAAATGAAGTTTGCCTGTGAAACTCATTACAAGTTTGTCTCTGAGACTAAGGATATATCAGGACTCCAAAATGGAGCAGATTTGTATATTGTTAATGGGACCATCCAGGTTTTTAATATGGATTTAAGTGTGGAAAGCATATAAACCTCTAGCTTTGGGACATGGGCTGATCCCTGTAGCAGGGGAGTTGATTTTGTTTGGAGAGGGCTGCAATCCATGCTTGATTCTGGTCTGGCCAGGGTGTGCTCAGCAATTCATA